AAATTATTATTAATAAGGAAGTTGTTGATCGATTCGTCAAAATAATCGACATACCATTGATAACAAATAAATTTGAACAGTTCATCAATATAGACACTATTATAAATAGTTCTGCATTATTACTTTTGTTGTTTACTCAATCGATCTAATGCGAAATGATAATGTTCAGATATTTACAAGGTGAATAAAAAAAGCATAGAATAAATGATGATTTTTCATAGCTGTAAATAATACAAGAGTCGAACTACAAAAAACGAGACATGAAACATAGATGACAAAGACGTTGAATAAAAGCTGGAATAAAAAAAATACTGTGATTATTTATAAAGAATATGAGGTTTATGGTGGATAATTATGATTTATTATCAGAAAAGACAAAATTCCTCTCGATTGACGTAGAATGAATGTGAAAGATTTTGGTATAAGTTGTTTACAGTAGACGACCGTTTACAAAAAAACAACTTATGTAATTCCAGTAGTAAAAATATTAGATCTTTAGTTTTTTTTCCTACGATTGACATTATCTATTTTGTACAGGTGTCACTTAATCTTTACGTCCCCCTCTAGCAACTTCAATTGTAAATGATAACACTGAGTATTATATACCAAATGAAAGCCCATGAAAAATTGGATATAGGGGTTCAATAAATAGGCCATAGTGCATTTGTTAGTTTTTAGAATTCTTTAAATGTTTTTCTACTATACCCATGTAAAAATTTTTGATTAAAAATTTGATTAAAAATCGATTAAAATGGCACGATTTTAATCAGATTTTAATCGAATTTTTTAGGCTTGAAGACGGATTTTATTTGATTTTAATCTTTTTTAATCTATTTTAATCGATTAATAAGCTTGAATCAGTAAAAACTAATTATCAAAATCGATTTTAGTTGATTTAGGTTTATTAATCGATTAAAATAGATTAAAAAAAAGATTAAAATCAAATAAAATCCGTCTTCAAGCCTAAAAAATTCGATTAAAATCTGATAAAAATCGTGCCATTTTAATCGATTTTTTAATCAAATTTTTAATCAAAAATTTTTACATGGGTAGCTCTTATTTCATGGTTTCATTGTTCATGCAAATGTTTCGTAAAAATAATAACAGATTAGTGATCTCCATCAAAAATTTCATCTGGAGACATGCCATATGTATCTTTTTCATGTTGAAAACTTCTCAAAAACATCCTAGCACGTACTGTATAGATCACGAAGTTTTTGTTATATTTTTTGGAATTATGTGGATGAAGAGTGAAAACTGTAACATAAGAGCTAATTTCTGTATATAATAGAAAAACATTTAAAGAATTCTAAGAACTAACAAATGGAGTATGGCCTATTCATCGAACCCATATATACAGTTTTTCATGGTCTTTCATTTTGGTATATAATACTCAGTGATATTATTTATAATTGAAGTTGCTAGAGGGGAGCGTAAAAGTTATGTGACACCTTGTAGTATATCTCGACTTTTTATCAGATATTGATTTTTACTGGACTCTTATTGATAATATTTAATTGTACTCAAATTTCAAACTATTTTAACACTAACAACTACAGACAGTTTCTATTCAAGAACACAAGATAGCTAGAATTATTTTGCTATTTGTATCTTTGATAATACATTTGAATAGATGGGACTTCTTTAAACCGATTCAATCTCTTATCTATTCGGATTGTCTATTAATATCTTCTTGTTCGTTGTTTATAGTTGATTAGGCTTCGTTTTTCTATTCTAGAAAAACTATTGATTATATATAGATATCGTTAAATTTTTCAATCATAACAGCATATCAATGTCTTCAAGGTATGGAGAACGTCAAACGATTCAATCAATCTATTCCTAGTCCTTACACATATGATGCATCTATGCCCGGGTATTTAGTCTTTTTTGTTAGTTTCTTAACTATCAGAGAATACACTGCCTTTTATTAAATAAGACAATAAAAAAAAACGAAAATAACTCTATTGAAAATTGTTTTCCATGGTAAATAAAGTATACATATTATTTGCATAATAACTGTTTTGTATTTACTATAAGAATGTGTTTTTTTTTCTAGTTATGATAAGACTAATTTTGAATAATGAGATGAGATAACACATATATGAAAATAAAATATTGTTTTGATGAAATCACTGTCTATAAAAAAAAACATAGCAGAAAAAATCTATCAAAATGATAAAATAGATGTAGTTTTCAGACAACTATATTGATGAACATAGTTACTAAACCGACTAAGATTGATTAATTTGATATCAAGCAATATATTATTTCGTTATTTTCTATTTTGTATCATTTATGTTAAATAATTGAATACTAACAAAAATTGGTTCATATTGTATCCTATGAAGCAAAAAATCGTAAACTTTATTTAGCATTATATAAATATGGAATATAAATTCATGAATTTTTTGCATGTAAAATTTGAAAATATAAGTTATTACATTTGAATTCACTCACAAAGTGATTAACTGTACACCTTAATATTTAATCTACTATGATCAAAACTTGATTTTCTCTGTTGAATTACAATGAGTTATCAATGAAAAAGAAGTGATTATCTTATGAATTTATATTCGTGCCATTAAGAAGATCTACATAGCGGTTGATGAAAAATATTAAAGTTTTTGATCGACATTAAATAATATAAGTTGTTTCTATGATAAGTATTGTTGCAAAAATAAATGCTAAAATAATTCATATTTTTAGGAATAGAAAAAAGATTAATATTTCTTTTCTTTCTTATTCTTTCTTATCCCTCATACGAACATAGTTCTATATAGTTTTTTCATTCATAGACGTCGAAAGAGAGAGAAAGCGAAAAAATAGGTTTTGTTTTTTCTGTTTATTTTTGTTGTCTGAATTATTACTCAGTTTTCAACATGCATATTAATTTAAATTAACCCTTTAACGGTCAAATTTTTAAGTTCTATCGATGTCGATGATATACTCAAGTAGGTCACGATCTAGATTATCATGCACGAGAATGTAGGTGTTCTTGGATTTGAATAAAAGATTTATATCTACGTCCATATCCATACCCTAGTTTTGTATCAAGCCAATGGCACAACAACCACATGTTATACAAAAGAAGCAACAAGATCACTGCCATATTATCGTTTTTTTCTACCAGAGTCATTGGCACTAGTTAAGTATAGTTCTGCAATCGAAAACAAAAGTGATACATATCTGTACCATCGATCGTTAAAAGAGTTAATGAATGGATGCAGTCATTTGTATAATAATATAATGTAATACTTATTTTTCGTGAAAGATCGATTTCTACGATTCTATATAATTATTATAGTCGAAAGACATACAACAAAGAGAGAGGAAAAAAATATATACGAAAAATGTCAAAAGCAAAAATTTTTTTCTTGATTACATAAGTCTTGACCTGTTCATATTTTCATGTGAGTGCTGTTGTTATAAAATTCATATTTTATTCATTTGTAGGAAAATAAATATGCCTAAAAAAAAACAGAAATATCACTAATTATATATTAAAAGAAATTCACGAGTAATATTTTACTCTTGACTAAGCTATAGTAAGTACAATAATATAGTTAGGGATATCGATTAATGTACCATACAAAATTGTCATTCACATAATAGATTTTGTAATATTTAATTTAAATAAGAATAATTAGGAAAAAAAGTCGACTCATCAAATAATTGTGGCAGATTGACTGATAATGATAATAACTTTCAAAAATATACGAAGAGTCTTTTAACCAGCACTGTCAAAAAAAGAAATTTCTTTGACAGAAAGAGTAGCTTGATAATGCCATTCATTAGAAAGAAAAGTCAAAAGCGTATTAATGACATACATGTTGACAAAAGAATACTGATATTTTTTTTTCTATACTTGTCTTTCGAATCAAGTAAGAATATTAATAACGGCAATGACTAAGTACCAATGACAGGTCTTGTATAACCATGTACACAAAATATATAGGGTAGGAAATAATATTATTCCAGGGGGATAGTGCTATGATTTCAAATAGTTTCAACAACAAAATTTATAATAATTTAAAGCACGTCAAAAATGGAGTTTATCGGTAATAAATAAGAAAGGTCATGGTAACTTTTTAGTGTTAAACTCATGAAACTTTTAGAATTTGATGCACTTTTCGCATAGAAAAATTTCTTTCATGAGAAAGTTCAAACTAGATCTGATTTAAGAGAATAAATACTAAAAGGTAATACTTTTTTTTTCTAAGATTTCATGAATATAAACAATAATTAATATGACGGACCTTAATGTTCGTTACAACACGAACATCAAACAGATCTCACGTCAAAAGAGTTTCAAATCATGTAATGTTTGTTTTCTTATTTTTCAAAAGATCTAAAGCGTGTTTTTTAAAAATTCTTAATGATAAAATTTATTTTTCGTCTCTCATAGTATTTTATTAACTTCATTTTTTATTATTATTCAAATATTTCTAGGCCTGGTGTCGATTATGTCTCATATTCTTTGCATTGTGAATCAGAGCTAGTTTGAACTCTCTTATGAAAGGAATTTTCCTATGTCGAGATGGTATCAAAGTCTAGCAATTTCATGAGTTTAACACTAAAAATTTGCCATGATCCTTACTATTTATAACCAATAAACTCCATTTGTGACGCGCTTTAATTTGGTATAAAATTTTTTGTTGATACTATTTGAAATCATAGTGCTACCCTTCTAGAATAATACTATTTTCCACTTTGTATATTTCGTACTTAAAAGAAATAAAAACATAAACATAATATGAATAATCTTAGTCAAACGATTTATTTAAGTCCATTAGTTTTTATTTTCATTTATACAAATATTTTATGTATTCGGTTACACTTGTTGTCTCTCTTATTACTATAAACATAAATGTTTGACGCAAAAGAAAAGCAATAGAAAAAAAAAAAGCAAGACATGTCATATATGTTTTTCGCTTTTCTTTTGTCATTATTATAATTGTTATTTTAGAATACATTCATGAATGTTTACATTTAGATCAATGAATTTCACAAATAACGGAACATCATTACCAATAATTTATTGTTCATTACAAGCTCGTGTTTATGAGCCTACTTATTTAGTTTTTAAATCATTAAATTCAACATATTTACGTTTACTTATTGGACCAGGTATATTACTTAATTCACTTTGTCTATTTATATTTTCTCGACCAAAATTATCAAATAAATCGACTACTATTATGTTTTTACGTGTTCTTTCACTTTTTGATATATTATCAATTACACTTAAATATATTCGAGCAGAAATGAATTATCAATCAATTGAAAAAGGTCATGAGATATTTTTATTAATTCCATCAATTTGTAAAGCATTATATGTATTAATGAATGCATGCATTTCAATTGCTATGTGGACTATTGTTTTAATGAGCTTGTAAGCTTTTATTTTTATTTTTTTTGTTTTGTTTTGTTTTCATGCAAAAATAACAGTACATGACATTAATATTTTTCTTTCATAGAGATAAAGCTATTGCTGTTAGTTATCCACTAAAAGCCAGTATATGGTTAACTCATAAGCGAGCATTTCAGATTTGTTGTTGTACTATTATTATACTTTCACTTGCCAATTTATCGTTCATTAATTTATCAGATATACACCTGGGAAAAAACAAGCGAAAATATTGTGGTTTAAGTGATGTTTCTTTTATCGTTGATCTGATTACTGCTTCAATTTTGCCTATGGGTAAATATACTTTATCTAATATATTTTTATTGATTTTATTAACATATTACATATAAAAATAGAATTTGTAGAATTCGATAACAAATGTAACATTATTATTCTCTGTAGATGTTTTCTATTCAATTATCAATATTACATAATAGAATTTTTGTTCTATTTTTTATGTAAGACTCAAGTACATAGTCGAAAAAAAAAAGGAGTATCTTTTTCTTGATCCATGAACTCATCCGTAAGACAAAGTCAAACGTTATGATCGAAAATATATGTTATAGTTTCTTAGTCAGATAGAAATTATTATATCTCTCGAGAATCTGAATAGAACAAAAACTAGAGATAATTTCATATTATAATGTAATAGGAAGTGCAATTTGGAATATAAAAATATGAGCATTATTTAATGAGACTAGATAATTGTACATCATTATTTGAAGCTTTGACAATACTAATGACGACAATTTAATGAGAAAGTCTATGTTATCAGTTTTAAGAGTCCTCTACTAGAGAGGATTTTCCGTTTTTGAAATATTCTTTCATTTTTCTATTATTAGAAATAATACGTCAAAAGAAATCTGCTGCGGAAAAGAATTCTTGATTGTTTTTTTTTTCATCATTAATATGACTACTAGTATCATGTTCTAAAATTTTTGTCTATAATTATACAATATTTATTAGATAAATAATTTCATGATTTATAAAATGAGAAATGAATTAAAACAATAAATAGAATATTCATTGTACTTATTTAATAATACTTATCAGCATAATTGAAATTATTTTCTAGATTAAAAATAAAATAACTGTTATTCAACCAAATTAGTTTTAATGAAAAATCTTTATTTTTGAATAGAGATCTCTAAGTGAAACATTTTTTATATTAATAACGAGCATCATATTTTATAAGCTGCAAAGAAATTATAATATTTTTTGAAAAAAAGAATTTATTTTTTATTAGAGAAATCATCTTAACTAAAGTTAATATTGTCTCTTAGAACTACTATGAGTATAATTTTGATAATCAATAGTTGAATGCAACTTTATATGTAATATGACAAAAACATTATTCAATAAATGAAATATTTACAAAAATTTAGACAAATATGTTGTTGATTAAGTCATTCTATTGTTAGACACAATTAAAAAATTCTAATTTTTCAAAACAAATCTCTCTATTTCTGAAACATTAATGTAATGATCTCATCCATTTTTAGGTCTTATTACAGCTGCTAATATTGTTATTGCAGTTGTATTACGTCGTACTTCACAAAATTGGCAAATATCTGAAGTTTCTAACAAACAAGAATTTGATTCAAGTTTTTCTAAAACAAATTCATCAAAACCATCACGTCATCAACGTTGTTCAGGTAGATCAACAAATACAACAGTTGAAGTAATATTAGCTACAAAACGACGTACAAATATACAAGTTACACGTATGCTTTTAGCTGTTACATTATCATTAATTATATTTAATATTCCTAATACAATATTTTTTGTTTCTGATAAAATTTATGATATAAGACAAATATTACATGGACGTTCATGTTTAGATATTAGTGATCATGATATAGTATTATATAAAGTTGGGTTTTATTCAGGCGTTATACAAGATATATTGTCGGATTTACCTCATGTAGTTAATTTTTTCTTATATTGTTTAGCTGGAAAAAAATTTCGAAGTATATTTATAAATGAATTTCAACAATTACTTGTTGATTTTCATTTAATTGGAAAAAACCCAAGACGTCGTAAATATGACACATCTATTTTAAATCCTGATTCAACATTAAGAACAGGCTATATTCCCCATGTAGGACTTGTATCATCAAAAACTCCTGCATCAACGGTAAGACAAAACATTGAAGTTTGATGTAATAATAAAAATGCTCTAACAATACTTAATCGTCAAAATGAAACTTAATCAAAAAAAAAAAAAAAGATGTATAGATTCGATGGCAATTATGAATGTGTTCGTTCGTATATAAGTAAACAATAAAATTGCGAGAATGTTGTTTTAATTTTTTATATGTTGTAATTATATTTTTCGTGTTGATTCTCTATTAAAGTTTAATAAATATATAATATGATCAAAATTCACTGTTAAACTTATAAAATCATTTTGTCATTAAAAAAAAAAAACCACAAAATAGATTTCTATTTTATATTCAATGATTAAATTGAAGATTCATCGATTTGTTTGTCTTTGTATTTACTTTAGATGAATTTACGTATATTTAACATGAAAATATTCGATTTGACGGTATAATTTCTTCTTTCATGTTGTACTTTCGATGTTTTTATTCATGATCTGCAAGTACTTATGTAGGTAAAGGAATAGTATCGATTATATGTTTATGATTCTTTTCTAACAGATGCAAGTATATATAATTGAGTTGGATATATATGATAAAACGATTACAACAACAGTGCTGACAAATGTACTTAAACAATTATTATCTTTATCTAAAGAAACTATGCGTAGACAATTGAAAATTTTGAATCAGAAATTCTTTTCTTTTTGTTAATATTGGTCTAATTACAATTATCCTATTTATCTTGATTTTTAAAATGTATGAAACTGCTTGATGATAAAACAGTAAGAATAACAACGACAAATATTGCTGAAAAAAAAAATTATTTTTTAATAGATATATGTTTTCTGAAAACAACTGCGACAAAGACCAGTATCGAGGTACATCGTTGAGAATTAGACAAAAATTCTTGTCATTAATTTCGTATTCATCAATTATCATACAAAAATATCATTCGAAAAACCCTCACATTTATCTAATCATTGAAAGTTTCAATTTCGAAGAAAAAATCTATTATCTTTTTTAAATGTGTAAAGAAATGTTTTATTTCTTTTTTTTTTTTTTATAATAAATAATTATTTTCTACATAAAGCTTCTACAGTTTTATGACTATGCAATAGAACAATAGAAAAAAATCTAGAAATTTAACTAAAGTAATCATAATTTTTATTTGTTATTTTTGTAGCCTTAGAAAATAAGCATATTCTCTAGTGGTACAATGAGAAAAAAGTTGTAGAAGAAGACTTAGTCTCCTGATCGTGTCTGTAGAAAAAATGGCAACTCTTTGATAACGTCTCGACAGGAAACATAAGAATCGTTTTTGGGCAAAATTTGATAGTTTCTAGAATGCTTCATACACAATATTCCATTGATTGAAAAGTAACAATTGTAAAACCATCAGAAAATCGATTTTTTTCTTGTAAGGTCACAAGTACTGTATTCAGAGACGGACAGGACGGAAGAAGAAAAATAGAAGTAGGACGGGACGGAACAGGATGGATGCAGGATAGGCGAGACTTAATTGCTTCTCCCGCTTACTTTCATTAATGGAACAACCAACAAAAACAACCGTCCATGTTTTACATTACAATAGCGATTGATTTTATGTCACAAGAGTAGAGCAATGGTTATCAAAGTAGTCGATTCTCGTTTGAACACACATTCAGATAGAAAAAGAACAGTATGGACGGTCAGTTTAAGTTGAGTGAGATGAATGATGACAAAAGAATAAGAAAATTATCATAATATAATGCATCTAACATAGACAATGGTATAAATAGTGGTATGATGGAAAAAGAATGAAAACAAAAATATTGAAAGGAAAAATGTCGAATTAAAAGGATACGCGTTTATTATAATAACCTATAGCATCAAAAAAAAAGAAATTTATTGAAGAAAGAGAAAGTATAGAGAAATTCGTAAAGGTGTGGGTGTGGTGTTATTCTCTACACCTATGAACAAACCTATATTCCTACACCCTCGACTGAAAACCCTAGTTTCTGCTCGATGCCCGCCTTCGAAAATGTTAATGTTCCATAATGAATTGAATTCTGGATAGAATCCAAGCAACTAGAAACTCAACTCAAGTCTAGGAGCGAATATCACCAGGAAAAACTTTAGTCCACTGCTAACCTTTCTCACATCATGATTCACTATATTTTTTTGCAATATTTTTATCAGCAACATAAGATAACCCATCGAGTGTGATTGAGTCTTGTCTTGGTCTACTACCACATACACACATGAATGTAAAGCCAAGTACAAAATCCTATATTGAGAACCACACTTACACCTTGAAAAGGGCCTTTCAATTGTCGTATTCAAACGATCTCTAACAAATAATATCGTTTTCATTTTATTTTTCATATTCGATATGCTTCCTTTCGACATTTTTGGATATTTTTCCTTTCTGCCTTTTCCCATGCATTCTAAATAGTTATGTATGCATACAGTTGTTCATTCTGTTTCGTTTTGTCACAATTATTGATTTTGAAAGTTGCTCATTTCAATTCGTATTTATATATGGACTCTACGCCAGGCAAACTCGATGGTCATAGCTATTCTTCACGCTTTCGTGCTATTTCGTCTTCCTTGGACATTACTCTCATCTCACTTACTCCAACACCTATTCGTACTTCAAGTCATACAACTTGTTCTTGTCTACAAATTGAGCGTCTCTTCAAAAAAGAGAAAGATTGTTTTATTGTTATTATAAATACAAATAGAAAACTGAAAACATGCCCGCGAGACTAGTCAGGACGGGAGACAGCCTCTGAACAACTCTCGGCGAGCCTTGTCGGAACAGTTTCTGATCGTTCCGTCAGTCTCTACTGTATACGTCACTTTTCATGCTTGTTAACGTACATTAAGAGATCATTATCAACTGATAATCAACATCATAAGTTAGAAATTTTTCTAGCCTACTAAAAAAGCAATGCATAAAAGGAAGACATATCATATCTAATTTAATGATATATCAGCCGAAAATTCTTTTCTGAATTATGAAATTCCATGACTTTCAATTCTTGTTAGGATCTACTGTTTCATACTATCAATATGATCTTTTTCTTTTTACTTTCATTCCATATTAATTATAGCATTTGGGAAGAAAAAAAAGAAAACGAATGTTGTCAAATGGAACTTAATTCAAATTTTCTTCTTCGACATCAAGTATGGAATTTCAATTTCTATTGAGTCTAGCTATTAGCAAATGTAAAATTTTTGTATGAGATAAATGATGAAATTTCAGTCAAACTTACAGGTTTAT